CCCCGCGACCCGGTGTCTTTGGCCGCCCTTGCGGCCCTGGTCCCCCCTCCCCGGCGCCCGGCGCTTCCTGCCGGCTCTCCGTCGTGGGGCGCGTTTCGTTCCTCCTTTCTGCCCTCCCTCACTTGCTTCCCCCTCTTCGCTGCCGGTCCTCCCTGCCCCCTCCCTTTTCTCTTCTTCTTGTTCTTCTTCGTCCCCTTCTTTACCTCTTTCTCCTTCTTCCGTTCCCTCTTTTTCTTACAGCTTTTCCCCTGCCCGCCTCCCTCCTTGGTGGTTGCCTCTGGGCCGCCCCCCCCACCTTCGCCGCCCCCCCCGCCTCCTGCCTTTTCTTCCTGCTTTCCCTTCCCCTTTTTTCTTCCCTTTTTCACCTCCCTTTCTTGCACGTTTTCCCCACTCTTTCTCGGCCTCCGCCCCTGTGGCCCGTGCTGCCCCTCTTCTCTCCCTTGCTTGCGCCGCCTCTTCTGTTGCGGGTCCCTCTGCTTGTTTTCCCGCCCCTTTTGCGCCCCTTCTCCTGTTACTCGTCGCGTTTTTTGGTCTTCCTGGTCGTGGCCTCGCCCCCTCTCTGTACCGCATCGCTTCTTCCCCTCCCTTGCGCTGCTTCCTGCCTCTTTCTCACGCTCTTCCCCCTTGCCGTTCTGCTCTTTTTATGCTCCCTTTGTTTTTTGCTTTTTTTTTCGCTTGTTTCTTCGGCGCTTCCCCGCCTCCCCGCTTGTGCTTTTTCTTTTTGCCCCTTACCTGCTTTATTGGCTTTCGTATCGTTCCTCCCCGCCCCTGGCTCTACCTTTTACCACCGCATGCCGGCACCCATTTCTGTCCCCCTGGCGTCCTCCCTCTCCGGAAGTCATTTTTTCCCCCTTGCCGACCGCCCGATTCCATCCCTTACTTTTTTGCTCACTAATTGCCCTTTTACCCTTTTTTTTTCCCCTCCCACTTAGTTTCTTGCTGCCTAATTGTGCTGCTGCTCCGGGGTAGCGGCGCCTTAGGTTCGCCTCGTTTGTGTGTTCTGCTGTTTGAATCCCTTTGCTTTTCCTTTGGGCTTTCTAGCCCCCTTTTACTCCCCTGCTTGGCCCGGCGTTTCCCTTCCCTTGGCCTGCCTTCGCTCTATCAGGTGGCCCCCGTTTCGTCGGCGTTTTTTATTTTTTTGCCGCCGCCGCCGCCTCGCCGCCGCCGCCGCCCCGCCCCTTTCCTTCCTGCCCTTTCCCGCTCCCGCGCGTTTCCGCTGCCCGCCGGGCCGCTCCGCCCCCGTCGGGCGCTCCCTCGTTCTGTTGTGGCCACCGCTGCCCCGGGTGTCCTCCGCTGCCCGCCGTCGTTTTTGCCTCCCCCCGCAGCGTTTTCCTTCGGACCCCACCTTCACTCTCGCTTTCTCAGCCCTCGCTTCTTGTGGCTCTCTCGTTCTGCCTTATCTGGCTCTCTTTCGTTCTTCCTTGTGGCTCTTTCGTTTCTTCCTGTACGCTCTTTCCATTCCTTCCTTCCCTGTGGCTCTCTCGTTCTGCCTTCTGGCTCTTTCGTTCCTTCCTTGTGGCTCTTGCGTTGCCCCCCTCTCGCTATGCGAATCATCGGCCCCCCGTGTTCCTCCCTCCTCCTTTGGCTGTTCCCTGCCTCCCATGATCGCCTGGTCCTCCTTTCCCTTGTCCCCCCGCTCACGCCCTTAACGCTGCATTTCCCTCTCCCTCACTGCTTGCCTTCCCTTCCCTCTCCCTCCCCTCCTTTTCTTCCGGTCCCTATCTTTGCGATCCTCCCCGTTCCTTCTTTGGTCCCCTTTTTTGCCAGCCGGCCCTCCCTCCTGCCTTAACTCTGCTCTCCCCTTTTCTCCTGTTTTTTCTTCCCCACAGCGCGCTCTTTCTTCTCTCTCCCCTTGTCGCCCCCTTCCCCGCTTTTTTCCCCTCTTCCGCGCTCCTTACCTCACCTACCCCGTCTTTCCCCTCCTGTCCCTCCAGCTCCCGGCCTCCGTTCACTTGGCCCTGCCCGTCCCCTGCCCCTGCCCTTCGGCCCTGCCACGCCCCCCGTGCCCTTCGGCCCATTGGCCCCCTTCCCCCTGTGCACTTCGGCCCCTGCCCTCCGCCCTTCGGCCACTGGCCTCGACCCCCCGTGCCCTTCGGCCCTTGCCCCCCTTCCCCTGTGCCTTCGGCCCGCCTCTCACCCCCGTCTGCCCTTTTTCCCGCTCGCCGGTTACCCTCCCTTTTCGCCGGATTCCCTGCTTCCGTGGCCCTTCGTTGGCCACCCTGTTTTCCTCCTTTCCCTCCTTTTCCTCCTTCCTTTTCTCCCCACCTTGGCCCCTTTCCCTCCTCACCTCCCGTCCGTTTTATTTTTTTCCCCTTTTTTTTCCTCCTTTCATTCTTCCACTTTCTTCCCCTTCCTTCCCCTTTCATTCCCCCTGCCCCTCTCCCATTGCGGGTCCTGCTCTCCGGTCCTTCCCCCTTTTGCCGGTTCCCGTTGCCTCCTTGCTTTTTTTTCGTTCCGATTGCCCTCCTTGCCCTTTCCTGTTACGCGTTCCGTGGCCACTTTGCCCCTTCTTCCTCCGCTCCCCTCTTCCTGCCCCGTCTTCCCCCTTCCGTCTCCTCCGCTCCTCTCCTTCCCACGTTTTCCCTCTCCGTCCCCCCTCGTGTGCCGTGCCCCGTCGACCGCTCTTCCGCCCCCTCCCTTGGTGCCGCTGTATGCATTGGTTTTCACTTCCCCCGCGTGTGGTCGCGGGACGGGCGGCCTGCGCTCGCATCAGTTTGTCCGGCTCACATTATCTCCCCTTGCGGCTCCCAATCTGCTGCCCTTTTCCTTTGCCCCCTCGTTGGATGCCTGCCACACCTTCGTTCGTGACCGACGTTTACACTTCCCCCCCGCCTGCTTCCACCCTCCATCGCGCTTCCGTCTCCTCTATCTCTCTTCTCTCTCTCTCTCTCTCTCTCTCTCTTCTCTCTCTTTGTCTGGCTTTTTTCCCCTGCGACGGTCCTCGGGTTTGCGCTCCCGTGGCCCTCCCTCCCTTTCGTCGGATTGCCCCGTCTCTACTGCCCCCCTCCTCCCCCTTCAGCCCGCCTCGTCTTCCCCTCCCTCCTCCGCCCTTTTCTTGCTCTTTCCCTTCGCTTTTGCGCCCTCCTCTCTCCCTCCCGCTACTCTGCTTCTCCGTTCTTACTCGCTCCACTTCTCCTTTCCTCCACCCACCTATCTATCTACTTAGATCCCATCTTCGCCTGGTCCTCTCCCTTCCTCCCCCCGCCTCCGCCCCTCCTCTCTCTCTCCCTGTTACCCCCTCCTGTTTTCTGTTTGTTTATTCCATTGTGGTTGTGGACTGACTCCCTTTGGTCCGCCATTTGCGTCGGGCGTCTCTTTCTCGCTTTCCCCTTACGTTTGCCCCGTGGCCCCGCTGCCCCCGCCCCGCGGGCCTCCGCCCGCCCCCCCCGCCCGCCCTTCTCACCCCTCTTTCTCCTCCCTCCCCTCCCCGCCCCCTTTCCACTGCCCCCCCCTCCCCCTTCCTCCTTTCTCACTCGCCGCCCGGCACCTCCTTGGCCCCCTGCTCCCCTCACCCCCTGGCCGCCTCCTCCCGCTGCTGCCCCCTCCTGCCCCCGGCGCCCGGTTGGGTGTTCCCGCCGCCCCCTCCCCCGTTGCGGTCTGCTCTGCGTGTCCGCCCCGCCTTCGCGTCGACCCGGCCCCTGCCGGCTCCCTTGCTCCCTGCCGGCTGCTCATCCCGGCCTTGGCTCCGACGGTGGCTCTGCTGCTTGCCCCCGTTGCTGGCTTTGCTCTTGCCCCTTCATGCCCTGATTTGTTTCCGTCTCGATCTCCCTTCCCCCTTCTCCTTTCCCTTCTTGCCTCTCTGCCTCCCCTGTCTCGCCTACGTCCTGGCCTGTTCTTTTTCCTGTCAGCGATTCCTGTCCTCTCGTCTCTCGCTCTGGCTCTCTGCCCCTTGCTTGTTGCTCCGTTGCCTCCTGCCGCCGCGTCCTCTACCTCTCTTCGCTATGTCTGCCTTCGCCCCCCGGCCCCCGCTCCCTGTCCCCGCCTCGGTATGCTTCCCGTCCACTGTATGCTGCCCCCTCTCGCCCTTGGTACTACTTTTTGCTTCTGCTACCTGCCCCTCCCACTTGTTCTTCTGGCCTTGCTTCCTGTTGTCCTTTCTCTCGGGGTCCTCCCTTCCTTTCTCTTGCTTTCCCTTGTTTCGTACTGCCTTTGTGCCTTATTGGCTCTCCCGGGCGCCCCTGCTGCCGCGTTCACCCCCCGGCTCCCCTTCGCTGCGCCATCCCGCGCCGCCTATTCTTGCCGTGCCGGCTCTGGACCTGCTCCCCCCGTGCCCGCCCCTTTGCCGGGGTGTTGCCCGCTTTGCGTTCCCCGCCCGGGCCCACTCCCCTGCCCCGACGTTCTGCTTCGCGCCCCCCCTCCTTCCCTTGCCGGCTGCGCGTGTGCGGCCCGCCTGCCCCGCCCGCCCTTCGCCCCACTCACGCTGCTGCCCCGTTTTTGCCCTCCCCCCTGGCTCGCTTGCGGCCGCCTTTGCACGTCTCGCCTGACCTGGCCCCGTTCCCGTTTGCTGAGCGCCGTGCTGGGCCTGCGGCCTCATGCTGCTGTCCCCACGTTCCCTTCCTAGGATGGTGCGCGTGTGCCCTTTCTGCTTCCCGATCCCCCGCTTGTTTGCCACCTGCCGCCTCCCGCTTTCGTGCGGCGATTTCTCGTAGGCCCTCCTCCCGGGTTCCACTCTTCTCCCCCGGGCCGAGGTGGCTCTTCCTGTCTGCCCTCCGTTGCCTTGCCTGCTGTGGGCGCGGCGCTGCCGCGGACCCTCGCGCCGGCCGCCTTGTCCCCCCTGCTATCCTCTTTCCCGCCCCCCGGCCCGCTTACCTTGCGTGTACCACCGCGCCCGCCCGCGCCCGCGCGTGCTTTGGCAGTGTTCGCGCGCTTCCGCCCTCTGCTCCTGCTTTGGGGCCCGGATCCCCGCCGTGCCCTGCCCCGGCTCTGGTCTGCCCCCCTTGCTCCTCCCTCTTTTACCCTCTCGATGTACTTCCCCCCCCCTTTTTGGCTTGCGTTTCTTGTCACTGCCCCTTTTCATGTGCTCCCTTAGCGCCGCCTGCCCTGCTTCCCTGCTGTCTCCCCGTCTTGCCGATTCTCCGCCTCTCCCTCTCCCCCGCTGCCACTCTTTCTCCCTCCTGCGGTGTTGCTGCTCCCTGACGCCCTTTGACTCTGGCCCCCCCCCTGCGGGCAGTTGCCCGCACCCGCCTCCACGTGCACCTCCCCTTTTTCTTCCCCTGCTTCGGCCGCGGGTCCGCGCCTCGGCTTCCACCCTTCCTGTTCCCCGGCCCTCCTTTCGCCCTCCTCCTCTCCTTTGTTTCGCATTTTGTACTTGCCTCCCCCCCGCTCCCCCGTTGTTCCTCCACGCCTAGTGTGACATGGCGCGCCCCGCGCCCCCGCCCCTTTATCGCTTCCCCTTGCCCTCCTCCATCTCCCTTTGCTCCCCTTCCTTCTTTTGCCTTCTGGTTTTTTCCCTCAGCTTCCGTCCCTCTCCCTCCGTTCCTCATCCGCCCCGTCCTCCGCGGTGCTTCTCCTCCTCCCTGTGCCCCCCGTGGTGCTGCCGCACTGCGGCCGGCCGCCCTCACTGTCCCTTTCCCGGCCTTAATTTCTTTATGCTTTTCACGTGCCCCCCACCTGCCACGCGCTCTCCCTCCCCGGTTGGGCCTCCCCCTGGGTCGCCGCCGCTTCCCCCGCCCTCCTTGCGGCCCCCCGCGCCCATCCTTCCCGTGCTGCCCCGTCCGGGCCTTCGCCCCCTGCTTCGCACCCCCGTTTTATGCTCTCACCTTTTGCTCCCCTTCTGGCCGTCCCCACCCTCTTCTCCCGTTCTTCCCGCCCGTACCCGTTGCTGCCCACCTTCCCCTTAGCCGTCTCCACCCGGCCGCCCGCTTTCTCCCTGTGCTTGCCCCGCCTGTCTTCCTTCTCCTCTGTCTCCCGCTTCTTGCGTCCCCCTCCGTCTTATGGTCAATGCCTGCGCCCCTACTCCTCTCCGTCGCCCCTTTCCTCCCCCACTTTGTCCAATTTCCTCCAACTCTGGCCACTTGCTTTTTCTCCCCCCCGCCCCGTCCGTCTTCTTTCCCTCGGCCGCCCCCTCCCTCCCCTGGCCCTTTTGTCCTCCTCTCGCTCTCCTCCTCTACCTGGATTTTTTAGCTGCTTCTTCCACCGTCGCTTGGCCGCTTCCCGCTGTTTGCTCCACATCACCTCGTTTCCCGGGTTTTGAGGTCACCCTCCCCCCGTTTGCTTTGCACGCCCTTCGCCCCCCTCCCCTTCTTCTCTCCCTTGGCCTGCCGGGCCCGTCATGCTCCCCCCTAGCCCATTGCCCTTGTTCTCCTCGGCCCTCTCTTAGGCTGCCGCGCTCTGCCTCTATCCCGCCCCCCTGCACGGCTTCGCCCCCCCAAAACCCCCCTGACCATCGTAAGTTCTGCTTCCGGTTCCCCTCCTGCTCCTTGGTCCTCTGCCTGCCAGCTCCTCCCCCCTTCCTCCCTACCTGTGCGTGGCTCCCCCCGCTCGTCCACGCTGTCCCCGTCCTGGCGTTTGCTGTCGCTCCCCCGCGCTTCGCACTTTCCTTGCCCCGCCCCCCCGGCTTCCTCTCCACTTTCCCTGCCTTGCCATTTGCCCCCCTCCTTGTGATTCCCCGGCCCCCGTGTCCTTCGTTGGTCTCCCGTTGCCCCCTCTGCTGACCAGTTCACACCGCCGCCCCCTATTTGCCTCCCCGCCTCGGCCGCGGCCGTGGCCCCCGTGCTGTACCTTGCCACCCCCTAGATCGCCCCAAGCCAGTCCACCCTGCCTCTCCTTCCTGCTCTCCGGCCTTTCTACCTGTGTCCCCCCCGGCACGCCTGTCCTTGTGCTTACATGGGTTTGGTCCGCCCGCGGCGTGCTGCCCTCTCCGCCCGTCCTGCCCGCGCTTGTTCTGTTCGGCCGTTTGTGCCCCCCCCCTCCACCAGCCTTCCCGGCCTCACTGCTTCCTTCACCCGTTCCATTTCTCCTCCGCCCCCCTCGCACGCGCCTTCTCGCCTTCCCTGTGCGCCGTCCGCTGCCCGGCCATCCCTTCCATACCCCCCCTCCCGCCTGGGGCCTGGGCCTGTTCGGCCTCCCCCCTTCTGCTTTCTTGCTGCTTGCTCTCCTCTCCCCTCCCCGGCGGCGGCGGCCACGCGCGCGCTCCCGCCTCCCGCCCGCACGCCTTGGTCTTCCTCCCCCTGCCGCCGCCCCCGGCGTGCTGTTGTGCTCTTGGCCTGTCCGTCCTGTTCCGCTTCCTTCTCCACCTGGGGCCTGTGCACGCGGCCTTGTCTGTTTTGGTCGTCTGCGCCACTGACCCTTGTGCCGCTGCCTCCTGCTTCTGGCCTGCTTGTTCTTTGTGGGTGTGCCCCCAGTGGCAGCCCCGCCCCGCATTGCCTTCCTTGCTGCGCTGCCGCCCTCCTGGGCCCCCCCCCTTCCTCCCCCTTCACCGCGTGCTGCCTGTTTGTCCCCACTCTCGCCCGCCTGCGCGCCGCCCGCGCTTCCTGTTTTGTGTTTGCGCCCTGGGTTTTTCCTGGCCCTCCCTGTTGCGCCCTGCTGCTGCTCTCCTTGTCTGCCCCCTGTGGCGGCTTTGGCCCTGTCCCGACCGCGTTTCCCCTTGACTCCGAGCCCTCCGGCCCCAGTGTTGCTTGGCCCCCCCTGCTTTTGCCCCTTCCCTGCCTGGCCCTGGCGCGGCCCTTTGTTTCTTATCCCTGCCCTGCTCCCATCTGGGCTCCCGCCCCCCGCCTGCCTTTTCCCGCTGTCCTCTCTGGTTTCCCCCTCCACCGTTCAGTTGCGTGCAGGTTTGCTGCTCTTTCCTTCCCTGCCCCGGATCCCTGGAAGTTGCCCCTGGCCAGCCCGACCCCTCATTCCTGTGTGGTTGACTGTTTCTCCGGCGTGCCGTTGTCTGGCGCGGCCTCTCGCTTCCTCACCCGCGACTGCCTCTCGACCCCAGTGACCCGTCTGGGCGCCTTCCTTGCTGGCCATGCCCGGTCTCATCCCCTGTTGCTTTGGGGCGCCTTGCTTGCCCCTCCACCTGTTTAGGTTGCCCCGCACCCCCTGGCCCCTCTTTCGTTCTCCACCCTCTTTGCCGCTTCCCCGCTCACGGGCCCCGCCTCCCCCCCAGGGCTCTGATGCGCGCTACGCGGCATTCCCCCTTGCCAGGGTGGTCGTTGGCTTTCGCGTGCCCCCTCCGCCTTCCTCGTTCGTTGCTTGGTGCTCCCCGCCCTGTCCCCGCTTTGCTGCCATTTTCCCCCTTTTGGCTGCCCTTGCTGCGGCGCTGCAGAGTGCCGGCCGTTTCCCCCTCCTGCTTTAGTCCTTCACGCATCTTGCTCCCGCGGCGCCCGGCCTCCCGTCTGTGCCCTCCGCACGTGCGCCGCTATGCTGTTGGCCTTTGGCTCGCTCCCTTTGCCTGGTGCCTCCCCTTCCGTCACTTTCCGCAGCTTGCGCCGCTGTGGGCCTGCCCCTCCTGTTCTCCACTTTCTCGGCCCTGTTGGGGTGCGCCTCCTTGTGCGCGCTTCCTTCCGGTTTCCTCCCTTTCCGGCGGCTGCGTGTTCCTGGCCCGGCTTTCTGGTGCCGCGCTCCGGCTCCCAGTTGTTCTGCCCCCTTTTGCGGTTCTCTTCTCTTTCCTTTTGTTCCGGTAGCCCACTCCTCCACGCCACCTTCCTTTCCCTTCCCCGTTCTTTCATTCTTCCTCCTTACTTCCTCCCCCCTTGGTCCCACTGCATTCTTTCGCCCCTCTTCGGCCTGTCTTGGCTCGTCCCCTGCTTTCTCTGGGCCGCTCTTGACCCCTCCTGGCCCGCCTCCTTTTCTTCCCGTTATCTCGTGTTCTTTCCCTTTGGCCGTCCACGTTTCTTGTGGGTTCTCTCCTCCCCGCTTGCTTCCCTTTTCGCTTTTTTGCTTCCATCCCACCTCTCCCCACTTCTCGGCTTTTCTAGGCTCCCTTCTTCCTTTGCCTGCCTTTTGTCCGCCATCTTCTCTTTTCCCTCTTCCCTCATCCGCTCTGTTCCTCCACCCTTGCGTTTTCCGCTTTATGGTTGCTTTCCCATCCCTCCTTTTGTTTTCCCGCTCACCCGTGTTCTCTTCCGTCTCTCCCCCCTGCTTTCGCTCATTTGCACTCTTTCTGTTCTATTCTCGGCTGCGTCCCTGCCCTCCTATGGTCCTCTGCCGTGCCGGGCCTCCTTTCCAGTCTCTCTCCTGCCCCCGCCCACTTTGCTCCCCCACCTCCCGCCCCGCAATTGCTCCATCGCTCTTTCCCCTCTTTCTGCCTGCCCGTTTGGCCTCCGCTCCTTGCTTTTCCCTTCCTTGGGCGCCTTTGCCCCCCCTCCGTCTCACGCTGGCTGCCTGCTCCTCGCCCCCTCCCCTCCCCTCTCCGTCTCTGGCTTGCTCTGGTCCCCTCCCAGGTCCTCTTCTGTTGCCGCTGCACGCCTTTTTGCCCTTCCCTTCTCGCGTTCCTCTTCCTCTCCATCTCCCCCCCCGGCCATGCACCCTGCACTTGTCCTCCCCCGTCGCTCCCCACTCTTCCCTTTGGGTCCCGGCCCGCTGCCCGGCCCTGTCTGCTGGCCCTCGCCCCTCCTCCCCTCCACGCTGGCTGGCATTTCCTCAGTGCCCCCCGCTGCTTGCCGGTCCCGCGCCCGGGCCCCCGCTCACCCCCCGAGCCGTTGCCCTAGTTCCCGCCGCCTCGTCGCTCCCCTCCTTCTCCCTCCCCTCCCTGTGCCCTCCGGCGCGCCTTCCCCGGGTCCCTCCATCTCATCCCGGGTTTGTCTGTCCCCCGGTCCTCCGGCTCGTGTTTTGGCCTTCTGGCGGGGCCTTCTTAGCTCCCACCTCTCCGCCTTCCCCGTGGACTTGCCTGTTGGCTCTCCCCGCCCTTCTTGCCTTGTCTTGGCCTGGCTTGCCCGCACCGCTGTTCCCCCCCCCTTCCCTGGATCGGGCCCTGGTTCGGCCGTTCCCCTCCCTTCCCTTCCCCGTCCGTCTTGCGTCTGGCTCTCTCGCCTGTTCGCCGTTTTGGCCCTCCTTCCGCCTTTGCCTCCCTGTCTATCCCCTCCGTCCCCCCCTTCCCTCCCAGGGCCTCCCGCTCCCCGCATGGTCGTCGCCTCTCGCCCGGCCCCTTCCTCCCTTCCAGCCTCCCCCTTGGCTGTGCTTCGGCCTCCTCCCGCACTCGCCCCCGTCATCGCGGTTTTCACGCCCCTATTGCCTGTCCTCCTCTCTCTTCTATGGCCGGTCTGCTGTTTGCCTGTTTCTACCTTCCCGCCACTGACGCATATCGCCTTCCTCTGTGCCATTCTTCACCCCTGCTCCCCCCTCTTGGACTACGAATCCCTCGCATCTCTCCTCTCTTCCCGTCCCTCTCCCTGCCACCTCCCCTTTTCCCGTACTTCTTCTCTCCCGGTTCTCCCGCTTCCCGCCGTTCCCGCGTACCGTGGCCGTTCGCCCCTCCTGCCCCCCCCCGGCCGCCGTGGCCCCGCGCCCCGCCCGCACCTTTGGCACGCCATCCGCAGCCCCTCTATGCGTCCCCGTCCCTTGCGCTCCGGCCTGCCGGGCGCCCGTGCGGCCTGGCCGTGCACCGGATTCGCCGCCCCCGGCTTTGCTGCCCCTCCGCCCGCCCTCCCCTGAGTTCTGCTTCTTCCTTGCCCCACCCCTTGGCTGGTTGCCTGCGCGTTGCCGCCGCTGTGTCGTGCGGCTGCCTTGTTTTTTGTGTTTGCTCCGTGTTTTCCCCACCGTCTGTGTTTTTCTTTCTTCTTCTTCGCCCGTTCGGCCTGGGCGTGGGTGTGCCGGCCCTTGTGGCTTTTGCTGTATCGGTCGGCTCGCTCTGGGCTCACGGTGTTCTTTCGTTGGTTTGGTCTGGCTGCTGCCCTCTGGCTTGGCCTGTTGCCCCGTGGCCCCTTCCGGTTCCGATCCAGCTCCCCCTCCTCCCCTCTGCCCCGGGCCTTCCCTCCCCCCCCCACGGCCCCCGACCGCCTGCTTTTGCCCCTGTCTCTCTCTCTGCTTTCTCTATCTGGTGGGTCGTCCGTCTATGACACCTTGCCGCCTCTTTCTCCTTCTCCTGCCTTGTGTGTTCGCCCTTCGCCTTTGCTCGCTCGCACCTGCCTGCCTCTCTCTTTCTGGTCTCGATTAGGGGCGCCCCGCTCAGTTTTCCCGCTCCAGCCCCCTGTTCTTCTTTCTTTATTATTTTGTTTGTCCTCCTCTTGCCTGTTCCTTGTCGTCTTTTGTTCCTCCGCTACTTTATTCCCCCTCCTCCGTTCTTTTTCTGCCCCTGGCAGCTCCCCCTGCCCTCATCCTTTGCCCACCGCCCCTCCCCTCCTCTCTATCTCTCTCCTCTTCTCTTCTCCATCTCTATTCTCTTCTCTCTCTTTTTGTCACTCCTTCCTCCTCTTCCGTTTGTACTCCTTCGTGTGTCCTTTCCACTCGTCCCTCCCTCACCGTTTGATTCCTTCCCCCCCGTGTTCCTCAGTCACTTCACTCCGCTTTTCGTTCCCTCCCTTTGCGCCCCGTTCGCCTCCCCCCTCGCCTCTCTCCTGCCTCCGCCCGCTCCCCCCGGTTGCTGCCCCCCCTCTCCATCTTCCCCCCTCTTGCTGTTGTCTTCCCGGAGCCTGTTTTCCCTTCCCCCTCGTGTGTCCTTCGAATTGCCCCCTTTTTCTGTCCTAGGTATCTCTTCTTACTCCTTCCTTTTGCCGCCTTTTCCTGTCCTCTTATCTCTTCGGACCTCCGGTTCCCTTGCCATGCCCGTCCCTGCCCGTGCACCTTCGGTCCCTGCCCCCCCCCGTGCCCTTCGGCCCCTGCCTCCCTTCCCCTGTGTCTTTCCCCTGCTCGCCGGTTCCCCTCCCTTTTCGCGTTGGCCTTATTTTCCTCCTTTCCTTCCTTTTTCCTCCCTTATTCCTCCTCCCTTTTTTTCTTCCCCCCTTTTCACCCCATCCCACGCCTTTACTTTTCTTTTTTCTTTACTTTTTTC